AGTAGCAGTGATTATCCAGGAAAAAAACCCACAACAGTCTCACTGTAAAGAAAAGTGGCCATGTACAATGCAGTGTATGCTGACCCACAGTCAAAGAATAATAACATTCTTTTGAGTACAGTCCTCAAGATTTAAACATTTGAAAAATATAAGAGCCTAGGGAGCCTGTGGAAGAGCACAGTTCACATCTGAGATACAGATATACTGAATCTGGTTAACACATGTTAGTTTTCCTTTTTTCCTAAAAGCTTCACTTTTGAGGATGGGAGGAGAAGGTGATGGTGGAGGTTACTGCATTTCCAAAGTACAAGGTTATTTTCACCTTCATTTGAAGCCCCGATGAGGCCACTCCCTTAGGGGGAATGCACTTGGTCTTAAGGGACATTTCCCTTACAGTTGCCATTGGATTCTTAGAACATTTTGTCAAGAAATACAATCAGTGCTTGCCTCTTCAAGGTTTTTAATTACATTTCTTGAATTTTCTAATCTTGAAATACAAATCTCTGCATCAGAAACAAAGAACAAGGCATCTTAAAGTCACAACTCTTGTATATTGTTTTCAGAAAATGTATGAATGGCATTTCAAGGTTATACATCATTGACATGGATCAAATGGCAGCATTTATTAGAGGGAAGAAAGTCAAACCAGATGTAATGGGAATCATCATCTGCTTCCACTAAAACTGAAACAGAATCTAGTTTTGATGTTAATTTGAATATCAGCCTGTGAACCGTATTTCAGATTTTTAAAACAATGGTAAAATCCTAAATTTGAGGTCCTAATTTGGTATCCGAATTCTGCTTCTCCTCTCACAATTGCACATCCAATGGAGAGAAGTTAAATGTTCTTATTTAACATATATACACCTATAATTGTACTTTTGTAAAAAGTCTATAGGTTTTGCTTCTTAGTTTCTATGAGGTCTATTTAATTTTGGATAAATACATGTTATGTCTGATAAATTTTTTTTTCTAAAGTCTACTGCTCTCTACAAAGTAGTAAGACATAATAGAGTCCCTTTCTTTCCAGTTTGTAATGTTTACTAACACATTTTAATGTATGATTAGATCCCAGCAGTCTTTTTAAAAATCTAGGCTAACAAACACTTTTTTTTTCTTTTTTTTTTTTTCTTTTTTCTAAAATCTTTTGCTGTGGACACAAGTTCTGGGTTACGTTAGATTCAGGTTGCCTTCAAAATAGTCCACACATAATCAGTTCAATTTCCTTTTACAATGCCTCTTGCTTCCCTACTCCACTGCAGGTCTTTTAATATATCCACTGTCAGGGCCTCTTTTCCACCCCTTTCCAGCAGAGTAAGGCTTGAAATTGGGTGGGACTCCACTGTAACCTAACTGGTATTCTATGACAGTACAGGTGCAGACACTTCTCTGCGGCTCATTAGCTAGAGCTCTGATCCCGTGTGCGCAGGGCATCCTCTTTCTTGACTTGAAATTCAACGACCATGAGGTAGGGTTTGTCAGAGGCCAGCAGTATTGCTAACCCTGGTAGAACATCTGATTATCTTTAGTTGAGAGACTACAGGCATTCAGGAGCACCTTCTACAGAAACAAACAGTGATGTTATTAACACGAGACCTACGGAATACAGAGCCCAGGCTTGAGTTCATGCTGGAGTAGATTATAGTACAAAAGCACACAACAAACCAAAAACCCAAACCAAACAATAGTCTTTGTTCTCCTTTTGTTTGTTTCAAAATGTGAGTAGGCTGGTGTTTTACTTTCAATTATATTATCACATAATGCAAAACTCTTTCCTGTGTGTTCTCTTTCTCTTTTTAATCTTTAGCTTTTACAGCTAGATCTTTCTCCCTTTTTCTCTAGTTCATCTGTTCTTTTTCTCTATTGTATTTGCCCAAATACAGAACATATAGCAGGCAGCCTCTTGCCTTCCCATGCTCTAGCCTCACATCCTCACTTCCCATTTCTGATCTGCCCTAACCTGCTTTGCATTTCTAGATAGTTGTGAGCCAGATCATGCTCAGCTGAACAACTCCAGATGCTTTGCAGAAACTGAGGACCCACTGCCCATACCCCTGGCAAGCCACACTATCAGCCATCTGCTCAGTGGCACCTCCATCCTACAGGAGCTGGTGTCTCCCATTGCTTGCGGCAAATTCACTGGCACTCAGAAGCTGCCGCTTCCAGAGGTGCACACAAGACACCGATGGTTCCCAAGCTGGATGGGAATATCTGATCAAGTTTGCAGCACCCAGTCTTGAGCATGAATGTTAAGTGACATTCATAAATAGAGGTTGCTTACTAAGCTAAATCACTTGGAAAGCCCAGTTGCACACAGGGGTATGGATACTTCAATAAAAACAAGTGACAGAAATCACAGGGTGAAGTGAAAGCTCAAAATATTTCAGGCTGCCTGCACAGCAAAGGGATGCATGTGTGCTGTTCTTGCTAAAAAAGAAGCTAACATCACATAAATCCAACATTTCCTTTTGCTTGCCTTAAATCAATGCGCTTGTGGTGCTATTCCTTAGAGTCAACAAACATGCCAGGAAAAATCTGTTTCCATGCTGGCTGCCCTTTCTCAGAAGTACCGGTAAGCACCAGGGAGGATGGAAAGTGGGCTGCGGAGCTGCAGAGGTGCTTAAGAGAGGAGTTTGCCAGCAAAAGAGAATTGCAGAGTTTGAAGCATGGAGAGACCTTCAGTTTTCCCAGAGTTCTTACTAAAAATGTCTAACTCATTTAATTAGAAAAGCAATATCCTAAACCAAACAGTCTAATCATCTCTTCTGCCCTCCCAGCCATTTTTAATATAATGATGGAGACTGTGAGTATAATTTACTTATCCTGATCCTTTTTGCTTTAATGCTGGATTGAAATATTGCTCTAAAGAAAGAAGAAAATATGTGCCATCTGTGTACAAAGGCAACACAAATGAGATGGGCAGACAAAGGTGGTACATTCTGGAAGTTTCAAGGAATGCTGCAGAAAATTTCTTTAATCTAGGAAAATGCTTTTACATAGTTAGTGAAACAGTCTTACAAGCAAGCTACTTTCTGAGGATCTCAGATAACAACAAGAAGGTTTTTATGTACACATATACAGCCTATGTTCTGCCATAAGCTCTACAGAGAAATATGATTTTTACCTTGCTGCCACATGATAAAACCTTGGTAAGGAAAAGGTACTTGAGCAATAGGCTTTCCCACCAGTACCTGGCCAAAACCTCTCCCCTCCTGTTTTTCTGGGTAGGAAAGCTGCTCAGAAATAGCTGTTAGTTTGTTCATCTTTACACTAACAGAAGTCCCAATAAGAAGACAGACCATCATTGCACTTTGGAGATCAGCTCCTGGATCTAGTTTAGCCTATCCATGCGTCAACAGCCATGCTGGCAGGCTCATGCTCTGGTGACTTCTGAGGGAAGTCCACACATAGTTATATGATCCTCTCAGCTAACAAACTTGGGTGTTGATGATGTAGAGATTTACTCTCCTAAAGTGACTTACAGGGCCAGGATCTTTCTGCTGAGTGGAGGGATCCCAGAAAATCAAAGGCCGATCCTTTAAATCAGAAGAGGTATTAATCACAGAATCACAGAATGTTAGGGATTGGAAGGGACCTTGAAAGATCATCCAGTCCAATCCCCCTGCCGGAGCAGGAACCTAAATGAGATCACACGGGAAGGCATCCAGGTGGGTTTTGAATGTCTCCAGAGAAGGAGACTCCACAACCTCCCTGGGCAGCCTGTTCCAGGGCTCTGGCACCCTCACTGTAAAGAAGTTCCTTCTGAAATTTAAGCGGAACCTCCTGTGTTCCAGCTTCCACCCATTGCCCCTTGTCCTATCATTGGGCATCACTGAGAAGAGCCTGGCTCCATCCTCCTGACATTTGCCCTTTACATATTTATAAACATTAATGAGGTCACCTCTCGGTCTCCTCTTCTCCAAGCTAAAGAGCCCCAGCTCCCTCAGCCTTTCCTCATAAGGGAGATGCTCCACTCCCTTAATCATCTTGGTGGCTCTGTGCTGGACTCTCTCAAGCAGTTCCCTGTCCTTCCTGAACTGTACGTTGTAAAATTCTACAGTGATGGAATAGGACAGAAGTGAGAAAATTGTGTGTTTGTAGGAAGAACCTTGTAAACAAAGATTTTACATCACTTATTTTGAGAAAAAAGTGGTATGGAAGATACTGAAAGCACATCTGTTGGTTTTTTTGAAGCCTTCTTTGACTTCTGTAAATTGCATTGCAAAACAGTATCCACTGTGCAGCTAATATGCTGTCCTGAACAAAAGTATTCTGGTTAAGGGGAAATGTCAAAACCCTGCAAACATATCGTGCATATGAAATGAATCCTAAATTAGAAAATTTTAAGTGCTGATATTTAAAAAAAAAGATGTACTAGACAAGTAGAAAGCAAAATTCTAATTCCATTTGATTTCACTGATCATTTGAAAAATGGCAAAGGTATGGGTATGAAGGCTAGACCCCAGATATCAAAGATAAAGGGAGCATAAATCCAATCAGATAGGATCAAACAAACATTGGAGGAAGTACCTGATATTCAGAGAATACGAAATCCATAATTTTGGGTGAAATCTCTCTATGGTTTTAGTTTCCTATTGTTAATGGAATTATACAGAGGATAAATGTCTTTCTTAATCCTTAAAGCAAAGATATTACTGAACGGATCTGAAGCAGTACACACTGGCACTGGTTTACCTGGAGCATTACCAGAATTACAATCTCTATGTTTTTAGGTCTTGGAATAAAATCCTACTTCTTTGCCCGTATGTGTCAGGCATATTTTTGTCCTGTGCCTAGCTGTGTCTGGCTGTCACTATCATCTTCATTTATCAAACACTTAAGTGTTTTATCATACACTTAAGTGTTCTCCAACTAAATAAAAAACCCAAGTATAGTAGATAGTTATTGTTCTTATCAATAATATGTTAGATCCATTATAGAAATAAAACATGTTTATTGAACTGAAGGAGCTGCATGACTGAAAATCATTAAACACTTACTTCTTTCACAAACCACTGGCAAAAGGCAGGGCCAATCCACTCTCTTGCATGAATCCCACAGTCTATCCAGACAGCTTTCTTGTAGGGCCGTGATGTTTTACCTAACTTGAAGTGTGAATATTCATAGAAATATCAATAGGTCTCATGACATTAATGTGATATAATAATGAGAAAATAGAATATTAGAAACACTAAACCATTTTGAACTTCCTCATATAAAGGAAAAGAAATTCATTGTTTTCAAAGGTATGGCCAAGACAATGACACGCAGGTACGCCAAGGTAATGAAGCTGATCTATAGAAAAAAAATTACAGGAAAAATGAGATCTGTCAATTCCTTTTTTATGAGGAATGAAATTCTTAAATATCACATGGAACAGGGTGAGGAAAAACAATGCTACAGGAATAGCCTGATGCAGAATCAAATTTTCAGAACTCTGCAACAGCAGATGAAAAGAAACTACATTGAAAGTAATTATTTTGCATCTTGCTGACACCCTCTAATTTGTGATCCTAATAAAGTGAGTTTAGAGCACATAACCCTGAAGTTTTGTCAGTAGCTAAAGAGGAAGCATATGCGGCACATGCTGAGAAGGGCTCCCGAGTCCCCCTCCAGCATAACTGCTTTCAAATTTGTAAACACAAAACTTTCCAATTCCCTTAAATCCAAATCCTGCTAATTGAACTTGGCCTGTAATCTTCATCCATATCCAATCCAAGTAAATAGGATTGGGCTTTTAGTTTTCCAGCTTTTAGTTTTTTGTTCATTAAATATGACATTCCAAGTGATACTTAGATCTAAGCAGCTTATCCTTAGGAAACACTAATAACCTGCATCTCCAATGTACATTCTACACTGTAAGTAATAAAGTGTCTGTCACTGATTCCAGATTTCAATCTGATTAATGACTACTTAATCTTTACCTTGAGTACAAACAGTGGTCTCCCTTCATAGGATTTCCCAACAGAGAACATGTGAACAAGATCTGAATGAGTTTTATTCAGATGATGCATCCAACTCTGGATCTGCAAATACAGAAATAAAATTGTTACTACAATCTTAGCACATATGAAGCAATTGTAACAATTCAGATCTGAGCTCTGAATCCTCTGTATGGTTTTGGATTTTCCTGTAATTTTTTTTGTCTTTTGTTGTTATGTTTTGTTTTGGTTTTATTTTCACACTTGAACTATCATTGGGTTCTCATAGCTCTATAGCCAGAGGCTGGATGCATTCAGTCATATGGGATTTTTTTTTTCCATTTTATTGTTGGATATTACTGAAATGCATTAGCTGTTCATAGAAAATCTGAGGATGGGGCTAATCTGCCATTCCCACTAAATACTAGTAGAATGAAGAAAGAAGGTCCCTGAGTCAGCCTGCCAGGACACAGAATAGCAAACAGATTGACCTGCAGGATTCAATGCTGCTTGCAATATTTGTTTTATGGGATGCAGCACCTTCCATGCTCTGCCTAGGGACTTTGTCTTGGTGCAACTGAAACTGTATATATGAGTACACTGAAATAATAAAAAATCGTTTATGTGGCTATCTTCCATGATAGTATCCCTTATATAGGAATCTGTAAGTCTTTGTTAGTCTTTGGTCCTCTTGTGCAAATACTTAAACATTTGCTCATATTGCTTACTTAAATAAATCATTGAGGCTAATCACTGAAATATCTTAATCCATCAAACCCCTATCTTAAAAAAAGAACTCAGAAGCTGTCAAAGATAGTTACATGTCAAGATAAGCCTTGAATACAAATATTAAAAAAATACATATTTTCGAGAAGGTGCCCATTTTTTAAGAAGAAATACTTGAATACTTCTGAAGATGAATAGGCAACCATAACTTGTAGAGCATGAAATCTTAGCCTTATTAAACACAATGGTGTGGCGGATAAGAGGAACAACATGAATTTCCACGTACTTCTTCCAGGGAGTGATACACTTCATAGTTATACTCAGAAAGGGACCTTCGATTCCTATGTGACCTCAATCCAGTTTGGTTTTCTATTGCTTTCTGCAGGTCTGATATGAGAATCCTAGGTAAAAAAAGATAGCGGTATTACTGAAAAACTAGTAGAACACATAGGCTAAAGCAGAACAACAATCCCATTTACAAGAAATATAGCTGGAGTAAAACCATCCTATGTTACTTCATCTGTTATATTTTGACAATAGAGTGCTTCAGGCTCATTTGAATATATGCTGCCAAAGAAATACTCCAGCTGCTTTGAAATCTAACAGTGCCTTCAAAAAGCACAATCAGTTTGTTAAGTGAATAAAACAGAATGATGTAAATAATGCAGCCAATGTGAAGGAGAAGCCACCTTCATTTGTTTATGGAGCAACATTTGTTGTCTTCTTTTATAATCCAGTTATATGACATGATCACGAATCTTCAAAAATTTACTTAAAAACATTAAAAACCATATTTTTAGGCTTAGAAAAGCATGCACATACTTTCTGTCAGGAGTAGTGTACTGGCATGGAACATTACATATACCTACAAGTTGTAGAGGCAAAACAAAAAATTAAAGAACTTGATGGCATTATCGTTCTGTCTGAAACACAACAAACAATGAAAAACCTTATGTGTAGTTTGTTACTTACGATTATCTACCTGCAATAGTTGGTTGCCAGTTATTTTTAAATAACTAAGGGAAAACATGAAACAACACTAAGTGTAACTTAGATATGCGTGCATAAAAAGTGAGAGGTTCTTTGCATTAAGAACAAAATGCAGGAATAGTGGTTCAAGCTGAAAACTTTCCTGGTTTATGGCAAAACCAAGTAATGCTGCAAAAACATCTAAAAATAATTCTATCAGAGTTTGAAGCGTCTGTCCCTTCCATCACACAGTGGCAGATGCTGGGAATATTGTCACTGACATCAGTAACATCACCGTAAAACTGAGGGCCATCCCTTGCATACCACCTTCTCTTGAAGCATGGCAGAGAATAATTACCATACCACTAATTCATCATTACTGTAAAATGATGATCACATTCAACCCTCTGAAGTCTTACAAGCAATAGCTGCAATGATTGGAAAAAGATAGAAAAAAATATACATTCACTCTGATCCTAAGTCAACTGTGCAGCAGATATCTTGAAGAGGTCTATCTGCAATATGTATCAAAGTAAAGGTTATCCACTTTCTTCAAATGTATTAGTGAAGTAATTGTATAATTAGGAATCTCATTGGTCTACATCAGCAATTTTCATTAGGCAAACTAAGAGCCTATAGTCTTGACTTGCAAAGTGCTATACACTCTTAAGACCAGCACTGTAAAGATCCTGTAGTTAGATTAAAGCAGTGGTTTTATTCAAGTCATTAGGACATCTAATATTAAAAAAAACCCAACTTGTCTGCTTTGCTGAATTTAGTTTAAGTACCTACCAGGGTCAAGCTCTGTTTGTTCACTTTTACAATAATAGATTTAATTTCACAACTCCTGATTGTTTATGTGTCTGTAGTCCAAATGAGGTTTTGTAGTCTTTATTTACTTTTACATGACTGTGTACTGTGTGTGCTCATAACATCCAAAGGCTCCTAGGTCCCTCAGGTTTCAATACAACCTACGTGGCTTTGTTGCCAGAGAACTTAACAATCCAGACAACTTGGTACAGTAAAAGTGTATCTGATGCCTGGATTGTTTTCACGGCCATCTTATTGTCATTAAGTCAAACACTGGGACAGATAAGCCTGTTCTACAGGCAAGGGCTGTCACCTTGTTCATTATTAGGGCTGCTTAATGCTTCCAGTCTAGAAATTTGTTGTAATTTATGCAATTGACACTCCATCAGGCTGAAATTTTACATGGTGTTTGCCTCAGATTTTCCAGTTGGGAAAGGGATGTATCAATTGAATTGATACACTTGCATTATTTGCAAATAATGTGCTGAAAATAAATTAAAAAAAATTGTGAAAAAACAGCCATGAGAAAGGAGCTGTATGAAACCTGGTCGGGTGCCTCAGCCCTTTGGCTGTGGAGCTGCACTTCAGCTCAGGGCTGTGGTCCCCATCCCAGTTGCGCTGTAGGCACGGCTGTGTCTGGCCACCCTGGCAGCCCTGCTCCTGCTGATCCCAGACTAGAGCTGTTGCTGCTTTCATGGCCGATCCCACTGGCTCTTGTGGAGTTACGGATCTCAGGAGGCTTGTCAGGACAAGCACATGTTTGTCCGAGGCTTTGCAGCTGACAGCTGGGACCCAGCGGTCAAGGAGTCTGAAATGGGTTGGGGTGAGATGAAGAGGAGAGCTGCCCTGCTTCCTTCTATGCACACGCAACTTGTGTGCCAGAAAGAAATTTTCCATGTGGAAAATTAATGTAGTTGTGTCCTTCCATTTGTAGGACGTTGTTTCGGTAAACTGCAGAGACCCTTCACTCTTGCAGTTCTTGCCCTTGCACACTTTGCTCAGCAACCTAAGTAAAGGTCTTCAAGTACAGGGAGTGTTTATAACACATATAAAATGGGCCTCTGTCATTTCATTACAGGTGATTACTGTGAGCAGGAACAGCAGCAGTCGTGAATGCAACTGCTGGGGCACAGTAATTAGGGGACATGTTTTGTGTAAGCACAGAAAAACAATTACAGAAATCCCCATCTAATTTTTAAAAACAAACAAAACTGAAACAGTGTAGAGCCCACATGAAAGTAGCTCTGAACTTCAGCTACCAGGCCTGCATAATTAATTTCCTAATATTTGGTTTTGTATTTTTAGAATGACAAATTAATAAGAGACCATTGTTATAATAAAAATGGAATTCTGATAACGGTACGTATAATATACACTATGCTTTGCAGCATCCTTTTCTCACAAGTATAAATAGCTTCACATAGGGCTTTATTCAGCAAATGTTTGAGAATTCAAATAGCTCATCAGCTGATTATTCAGATGCTTCAGCATCTCACTGAAAAGGCTTTAATGACAAGATCATTACTCTTGTCTAGTATACCACATTGATAAATAAGAAATAAAAAGTATACTCCAAAACTGTCTTGAATGCTTTTAAGAAGTGCTATAAATGATGCGTGATCCTTAGCATGTATTTGTTCTGTATGACATGCCTTGGGTCATGAGGAATTAAAAGTTATGAAACAGAACTAGTACTTTCCTTTATAATTCATGAAGAAGGCTTGCCACCTCCGCATTTGCAGCAGACTTGTAAACAAACCTAGCTCCTTTTAAATACACAGAGAAGCAAAGCAGGCTGTAGAATTAGTAATTGCCATCCCTCTCTTAACAGATGTGATTTCATATACATTGAAAACACTTCAGCATGACTCCAAAGGAGGACATTTAATTAAAACTGCCTGCCTGTGGGAGCTTTTCTGTTCTCCCATTAAAATGGTTGTTTTCTTGGCAATGTCTAGCTGTCTGCCAGTCTAATTGCTGTGACGTGGAACGTATTTTCAAGTGCACTTGGTGTAGTAGATGCAGACCTGCCTTGGAGGCCAGATCTCTGGAGTGAGGCACAGAAAGCGAAGCACAGGCTTACGTGTACTGGATGTTTGCTTGCTGGAGGTAGGGCAGCAGACTTCGGGACGTGTTCTGTGGTACTCGCACGTCGGTGACCGTACCTTCGACGATGTGGAAGGTGCTGCTGGGCTGCCACATGTCCACCTGTAGTGCAGGAACCAACCTGTAATTCATATGCATTCAGTGTAGGTGGGGAAGTCCAGGAGATGGCATGCTTGAAGCTCAGTAGGCAAGCACCCTAGGCATGGTACAGACAGTAAAACTGTATTGGCTGCTCCAGCTTGATATCTATGCTAACAGAGCAGATTTTGAGGAATGATTGTGTCCAGCTTACCACAACTGTCAGGGGACATTTGCCAATGAGAAGAGAGAACAGTCTCAGAAATGTGCCTGCTCAAATGGCTCGAAACAAAAGCTACCTCCAACTTCATGGGTCTCCTCAGACTACGATACATTCCCTATGTATTAGAGACTTCTTTATTTCACAAGGTGTTTTCTATGTTCATTAGGGTAGTAAAATAAAAGAATGCTAGAGAGAGGTAGAGAGCGTAGCATATACCAGTGTTGTTTGCCAAGTGTACCCAAGTTTATTCTGTTAATAAACAGACCAGGGGTCAGTAACAGGTCACCAATACTATGAAGGAAGCTGTGATCTACTCAATAATTGTATATGAAATGACAAAATAACAGGATTAACATAATCAAATTATTACAATCTTGTAAAAAATGATAGCTGCTAAATGATACCACAATTATTAATGTGCTATGTATACCTGATCATACCTAAGAGATCCTTCTTGTCCATTTTTACTTTCCTTGGTTGCCAAATCTGAAATACACTTGGAAATTTTAGCCCAGAACATGAATTTCTAAAAAAGCAAGAAAGTCTGCAAACAGGGATTTGAAACTCAGTGTTCTGCACCCTGTAGAAAAATGCTCTTAAACTGCTCAGATGAACCAACGTCAGATGTACAGACTCCTAAACAGAGGTGAGAACAGTTCCTCCTCAGCCTGTGTGAAACCAGTGGCCAGAACACCAGTTAACAAACCTCTTCTCAGAGCTGCTGGGTAGTCACAGGAGACTACAGAAGAGTGTCAGCAACAACCACTGTGTCAGTGTGACAAATATGCACATCAAGATCCACAAGACGTAAAAATATACAAGTTTGTGAGGTGAATACAAAGAGGGGAATTGACAGGGACTATCATGCCCCTACATTTCTCATAGAGAATTTAAAAGGAATTAATACCTGATAAATATATTTTGAAGTTTATGTCAATCAGCTGTGCTAGGCTGCATTGATGAAATGCATGGATACAGCTCATGAATGTCTGTTGCTTTATTTGCTTTCCAGGTTTCTAAGGTCTTTATAAACTAGATTTTAAAAGCTCTTTACTTCTCCTATGCCATACAAGCTATTTTATAGATATCTAATGCATTCCACCTCATCTTGCTACAAACCTTGTCTGAGAAGAGAATACAATCTTCCAACTGAGATTTAGTTCCCACCATGTATCAAATGGCCCTGAATAAAAGTATTCTGATTGCCAAGAAGGCATCTGATGCTGAACCTGATGTTACCTCTTCAAGCAGTAGTGACTTTAGTCCGGTTAATCCAATTAAATGCCTGCTACTTTGGAAGGAGGAAAACTGAAACGCAGGGGCAGCCTCTTCTATTCCTCCCAAAACCACGCTTTGTTTCACACTGCCACAATACGGTCTGTGGATCCGTGTGATAGCGGTGGGTGGGTGTAGCATCTTTTGAAGTCTAACACCAGTACTGGCAAAGTTCATGAGGCTTGTGAAGCTGACAGCAGCTATGACAGATGGTCAGTAGAAACCAAACTCATGAATTAAATGGTGCTAAATGCTGCTTATAAATAAAGTTCCCCTCACTGCGCTAACACCTTATGTTTGCTAGTTTATCTATCTTTCGTATTTTGATTAATTATAGGCATCCAGTGAAATCTTCCCCTAATTTATCATGGTTGATTTCACACATGGTTAATTAGAAATGTGTATTTGACTTAATTTTAAGAGTTACCCCTAAAAATACACATCATGGAGGGTAAATTTGTTGCTCTTGGAGTAACAGCATATCAATCAGCTCACTTTGAGCCGTCTTTATAGAAATAACATCACATTGTTATACACAAGCTAAGAGCAACAGAAGTGAAGTGTCTCCTGGCCAACTGCAATATATAAGCACACAAACTGGAAATAGAAGTTACAAAAATAATAATAATTAAAAAA